CCAATTTTTTTTTCGGGCTAGAACAACCCCCCCTTTCTTTGTTGCTGCCCCAAATAATGCCACTTTTTTTCTTTGGCATTAAATAATACACCAAAAAATCGGGGAATACAACCCCAAATTTCCCCCTTGTAAAAAATCCCAAGGGATTCCGTTTTCCCGGGGGCCGATTTCCCCAACACTTCCCCCCACAGCCAAAAAAAACCCCTTTTCTTCACTTATACCCATTAAAAGCCAACCGTCCATGTACTCTAGTTAAAAACGTACTTTAAAAAACCCATTTCCCCCAGCCCCCCTTAAAAAACCCAGTTTTTTGTATTGAAAATTTTCATACCATGCGTCTAAAAAGGAAACCCAAAGCCTCCTTTACCAAAGGGCCTTCCCCCTACAAAAGGGTTCCCCCAAATTGACTCCTAAACCCCTTTTAATCCCATTAATTCTGTCGCCTTACGACGTCTGCCCTGCTCCCCGCAAAACAAACGCCCAAGGAGGTCACCCCCTAAAACCTCAAACAATTCCCCTTGCTATCCCCGCCGCATCAAAAATGCGAATTTTTGAATGTCTCTAATTAAGCGTTTTAAAAATTTTTTAAATTCCAGCCACCGGATACCTTTCCCCCCCCCTTTGGGATAAAAATCTTTTCAGGGTTTATTTTCAAGAAGTTTCCCAAAAGCCCATAAAGCCTTTTCCCTTTTCTTCCCATTCCTTGCTGCCGATTTTAAAAATTTCCCCACCTTTTTACCTTACCCACCCCCATCCCACCGTTCGACCCATATCAATTCCCTGCTGCCCTTCAGCCCACCCTCCTCTCCAAGCACTCACAAAAACTTCCCCCCACAAACCCCTTTTGGGGCATTAAAACCCCCATTCAACTTCCAGAAAACCTCTGTAACGCCCCGGTAATCCCAACCCCGTCAAAATTCCCGTAACACCCCTGTGATCGGAGAAGCTCAATTTTGCAAAACCCTAAAACCCCCCCTGACGCTGACAAACCCAAAAAAAAGTAAGGGGATCCAGCTTACCGCATACTCCCTTCTAACGAAATTTTGCATGAACCCCCCCCCACCCCCAACCCCCCCCCCCCATCCGTAACAATTTAAAACTCCTGAAAAAAAATCCCCTCCCTCTCGGGTTTGACTTTCCCTTTCGCGATCCAAAGCAATTCCAATTTAACCCCCCAAAAATCGTTTAAAATGGCAGTGATCTTAAAAAGGGACACCAAAAACGTCCCCAAAAAAAACTTTTTTACACGCATGTCCCCTTTCCCCCGGGCCGTTCACCCCCAAAGGCCACCCTAACCCCAACCCCCCCCCCATCAAACCCCAACAAAAAAACCCCCCCTTCTCCCCCCCTCATAGTTTGCAAAAAAAAGGGAACCCTTTAATAAAACTGCTTCACCACCTTTTGTCTATTGAACAGCCCTTTTTTACAAAAAAATATTCAGGGAAACAGCAATTTACCCCAAAAATTTAATTGTGTTTTTGTAAAGAATAAACATCGGGTAAAAAAATTTTTTAACAAAAACCCCCAAATTTTTACGGTTTTTTTTAAAAACCGTAACCCCCTTTTATATTTAAAGGAAACACTTTAACGTTTTTATGGGAGGTTTTTACCCCTTGGGAAACCCTTTACAATCTTGGTTTTCCTTGCTTAAATTTTCCCCCTTCTTCCCCCCCCCCCGGTCGTTTCCTTTACTTTCTTAAAAACCCCTGTTTGATTTGCCCTTTTCCCCTTTCGGGGCCCCTTTGCACCATGTTTGTTTTTCCCCAAAACCCTTGCCTGGGTCAAAATTTGAGAGTCCCGATATCAAACCGGCCCCTCTCTTACGAGAATGCGGCCAAAATCCATCTCATCTTGGAAAATGTTTTTCTAGAACTTCCCCGACCCCCAAAAAGATGTTTTAGCCCTTTTCCCGGCGGATTTCCCCCTCATTCTCCTTTACCCCTTACTCCCCAAAACCCCCGTGAAGCCCCTCAGAGGGGAAAAACCTTTTAAAAAATTTTAGAACTTTTGAATAGATTGCCCACGTCCCTCCCTGAGATAACGAGGTCTTCCCGTCTCGCCGATACCCCCCACCCCTCCCCCACTGCACCCGGGGGGGTTAAAATTTTCGGCGATTCTTCCCCCTCACCCTCTAACCCCCCTACCCACGAATTTTCGAGGCAATTAAAAAGGTTGTGTAAACACAGCATAAGGGCGGCCGTTGAAACATCAAACCGGTTTTCTTCCCTCGTTTTATCACGTCTTGTAGGGGATTTGCGGGGGATAATGGGCAAACATCCCCCAAAAACCCGCACGTACCCTTTTTTCCTGAGTTTCGAAGTACACTTGCGTACGAAATTTCCCCCATAACCCCCAACGACGGGAAAGGGGGCTTTAGGGACATTTTAGGGGGAAAGACCCCTCCAGCCACCCTCCCCTAGTTTCCAAAAAGAACCGTGCCCCTAGCGTGCAAAACATTCCTAAAACACCTCTTCCCCCTCAAAAGGAAAAGTTGTACCTTTATCCAGGGGGGTTTAAAAAAAGGGAGACGTCCCTGAAGGCAACAGTGACACCAGGGTTAACGGTTTTTTTTCATCCTGATATGTGGCCCAAAAATTTTTTTTTTTGGGAAGTCTATTTTGTCTGAATTTTACAAAAACCTCGAATTTGGGGCCCTTCCCAAAAGACACCATAAAGACTTCATTATTTATTTAAACCTTTTGTAAACTGAAAACGCATTTAAACAGTAATGTTGTAATTTTGATTGTTTTTTCGAGCCTGTCCAAATAATGGGAAGGGTACGGGTTTTTTGACTGCCCACCCTGCACATTCCGCCATTGTTAGTGCACCCGAGGAAAAAAATGCACACAATCAACAAAATCCCGGGGCTACTGCGCCCGCCCGGGTTTTTTTAAAAGCACAGAAACCCAAATCAAAAAGGACGTCCTTTCGCACAGTCCCCTCGGCCCGGGGAAACGAATAGGGCAATGATTGTTCCGCAGTCTGAAGGTGGTTTTTATTTTGGGTGATTTTTATAACTTTTTTGTTATTGAGTGGGACAGCTGTTCAAGAGGTTCCCACTGGTCACCCCCCCCCAAACCTTGGAGTCTGGGGTGAAAAATGTTCAACCTCCCCCCTCTCACTGAAAAACCCAAAAAAAATTTTGTTACCACAACTACACATAAAACTGGAAGGCAACTGTGAAGAATTGGCGGAAAACCTCATCATGGTTTACAAGAACATGGGATGTAACATGTCACTTAAAATCCTCTTTTTGAACTCACACTTAGACTTTTTTCCAACGAACTGTGGAAAATGGTACCAGGGCAAGAGATGATTCTTCAGCCCACTATAAGAGTCAAGCAAAAAGGCAGAGAGTAGGTACGGATTAGAGTTTAGAACATACTGACACATATTGTACGTTATAATAAAATAATCAAGGTAACATTAGGATTCATGACATAAAAATACCTAAGAATTGGCTAATCTCATTTAAGAAGCATACAACTTTTCAAAAATTGTTGACCAGTGTAATTAACATAGGCGAGGTCATCACCTCACCTATAGTGAGGTGTTCTCATAGAAAAGGTGTGGTCATTGACAGGTGTGGTAATAGTCAGGTGTGGTTCATGTTTCCAGGTCTCCATCCGTGGGCCCCCGGATATCAACCCTTCCTTGTTCCGTGTGTCCAGAAATCCATCTGTGTCTCCGCAGATGAACTCCCAGGTGTGCATCATGGTAAGGTGTGGCCATAGTGAGGTGATGGTGAGATGTGGTCATAGTCAGGTCATAATGAGGTGAGCTGTGGTCATAGTAACATGAGGTGGTCATAGTGAGGTGTGGTCACGTCAGGTGTAGTTTATGTTCAGGTCTCCATCCGTGGGCCCCCGGATGTCAACCCTTCCACATTTCCCACTCCCGGCTGTTTTGGTGCTTTCCCTAGTTCCGTGTGTCCAGAAGTCCATCTGTGTCCCCTCAGATGAACTCCCTTCCTCACTTTCCCAGGTGGGAGGGTGGTTGGGTGGGTTGAGTGGGTGGATGGGTGGGTGGGTGTTTGGGCGGGTGGGTGTTTGGGCGGGTGGGTGGTTTTGGGTGGGCGGGTGGTTTTGGGTGGGCGTGTGTGTGGGTGTGTGTTGTGTATGTGTTGGCCCCTCCCAGTGACCTTGTTGGATGGTAACTTGGTCTTGTCTAGCTGGTCTACTGCCGAGACTGTCCAGGTGGGTGGAATTTTTTTTTTTTTTTTTTTATATTTTATTTAAAACATGACATTACAAAAATATAATATGTAAAACTCATTTAAGTCTATAAATTAACACAATCCTCCCTACAGCTAATATTACACACCACACTTACAACTCCGTGTGGGTACACCCACCCCCTCCCTGCTCCCTCATCCTATCACTTAACCCAAACCTGTTGAAGCTACTTAACAGAATTACATGATATATATATCACAACAAACATTACATTGCTACAACATAAAAGGCATGTAGCACACATAAGTATTTCACTACAGGAAAGACACCTATCCTAAAAATTATCACCAACACAAACGTGTTTGAAGCCTCACACCCCCCCCCTTGCATGTCCCACCCAAACCTATTCACAACCAAACATACAAATTATACAGTAAAGAAAAAGAATACAACATCGTAACACATTGATACAGTACATGTATATACACAACCCATTTCACAAATATCCTCAAGTAATTACAAAGGGTCTGTCCTTGTGCATACAAGAGGCCTCATAACAGCAGGTCCTGCACAAGTAACACTACCAGTGTTTTTATACATTGTGTATGCATAGGTATAAAATACATACCTAATACTTGACATAGAACATAAGGATGCTCCTCAAACCTCCACCATACAGACCCCACCCACTATCATACAACATATAGTCCAAGATTCATACACACAGCAGCAGCACATGCCACCTCAACCGCACCAGCGTACCTTAGGCGCACACAGGCGCAGGCAGCAACACCTCTAACCAGAACCTAACACATACTCACAATTCCACAATTTGCAGACACATCTGAACAGCACATATCAAGCCACTTTCATCCTAACACTGGGCACATGCCCCTCTCAAGGAGCACGCTATCTGGTGCCCCCAGACACACACGCCATTAACCGTCGCTGCCATCAAGCAGCAGACCTCATCACACCTTCCACGACTATTCCCGCCCCTGTCTAAACCCCCCCTCACACCTGGCTAAGGTTTCCTCCCTCGCTGCCCCACTTGTACTTTTGCATGCCCACTTGGGCCCTGGGGGCCACGTTTGCCATGCTCTCCACGCACGACACCCGTGCCACCTGGCACCACCAGCTGTCGCTGCTCACCTCCACTAGCACACCGCCCCCCCCATCTACCGATGCTTTCTTCCCTGTTCGTTGAGCCGGCGTCAGGACGTCGCCAGAGTCCGACAATGCTGCAGCCCTCTTCCTCGTCCCAGCATCCTCCTCCATGTTTGTGACCGGATCGTCCACACGATGTACCTCCACCACCACCTTCGTCTCTGCCTTCTGACGAGGGGTCACCACGTCCCCGCCAGCCCCACCAGCACCAACAATCTCCTTCTGCTGCTGCTCGACCGCCACAGACACGATCTCCGGACTGGCCGTCGTCACAGCCGGGGAGACCACATCCGTAGATGAGAACATGGTATGCAAAACAGACGCTATTGTCGCATCCAAGTCCTCCACTTCCACCGTCACCTGGTCTTCCCCGAAGCCTGCTGTACCACCGGCGATGCAGGTAACTCGAGAGACGACAGCTCCAGATTCGACACCACCACTGGCTCCTCAATCTCCTCACTCCAAAGCCGACCGTGGCCACCATCTCCTTTTCGTCCACGTATGGAGCCTCCTGCCCATCGTCATTCGTTGATCCACCGGCTGGCCTTCTGGCCTGCCCGCGCTGCCCACACTCTGCTGCCATATGATCATATTCACCGCAGAGGCGACACGTCCGTCGTTGACCAGCATAAGACACCATGACCTGTGTGCGGAAGTCATCAAGGTACACATACGATGGTATGGCCTGGCGTAGAGACATCTTGAGGGTAAACGAACCGTCTGGGAGACCAACATACGCCCCAGCCACCCGCATGCCTTGTTTAGCCATGTGTATCACTTCGTATCTTCTGAAAACACTGCGGAGATCTGTTGCATCGACCTCGAAGGGCACATTGCGCAGTTTCACCCACGTATATTGTCGAGAGACATCCACCATACGCACATGCACGTCAGGGGACACATCTACGCAGAGATCTTGGAACTGCTCAACCAGCTGCTCGTACACTGGCTCGTAGAGTAGTTTCACAAATATCCGGTAGGCGCCATTTAATGCCACACCGTACAAATCCTTGTCCGCAATACCATAAGTGTCACGGATAATCTTAGGTAGCAAAACTTGTTCATTCTCAGACGTAATCGCCCCCCGAACAAGCTGTATACCAACGGTATTCACCCGCCTCCTCACGCTGAATACCATGACGTCACCGGATAGCTTGCTAGACTCAATATTTATATGGAGAGGTACAAGGCATGTCCACACTCCCTGGCAGCTAGGTCGCGAATGAGGGTGGAATTACAGGAGGGGACACACAGAAAACTGCGTCCTGTAATTACACCCACCAAGACAGCCTGGAACAGTAGTCAGCTAGACGAGACCAAGCTGCCTCCCAACTCGGCCACCAAGGTGAGGTTACTTAGTGAAAATCTCGGAGTTCTATTTATGTTTCATTATGTGTTCAAGTTAATTTTTGTTTTGTTTTCACTCACGCAGCTGTGTATGTGTATTTCTAAAAAAAATTACTCTGTATATATGTGAGTCCGTGTGTGACTGTCTTCCCACTAGCAAATCTGTTACAAAAAAATTATCAGCTTCTTTTTTGTTGCAGTTCGTCATTTTCAAGGAACTGAAACGTCCACAAGTAAATATGAAAGTTCACAAGTACATTCACACAGACACACATGCACATATTATTATTATAATAAAAAAGAAGAGCTAAACCACAAGGGTCATACAGCGCATCACATGCACACAATAACCACAACACATGTATTTCTCTCGTCCCTCTCTAACATCTAATTCTCTCGCACACGTATACTATCTTACAATCCAAACTCTGTCAAACACGCATATCTGCATTTTCTCTCACTTTTATTTAAATTAAATTAATTTGCACAGGGAATAAACCCGAAATAAAGAAATTGTTTAGCGTCAATTTTAATTGACTCCTGTAGTTTCCTACAACATCTTCCACAACAGTGTCTCCCACAATGGTATTCATGTTTCCCAAAACAATTATGTTGACTCAAAATTCCCCAAAGTTTCACTTAACATTTCGCAGGAACCATCACTCTCTCGTCCACACTAAAAAATGTCCTTATTGATAAAATCGACCTTCACGGTAGTAAAAAAAAAAATTTCAGCAGTGTGTTCGATACCGCTGTGAATAAAACAGTGACGTAGACTAAGGTACAAGTGACGTGGGCTAATGTACAAGTGACGTGGGCTAATGTACAAGTGACGTGGGCTAAGGTACAAGTGAATAAGAGCAACAGTTTCCTCGATACTGCTGTTTTTATTTACTTGTACTTTAGCAACTGTGGCAACAATGTCTTTTGTAACAATACGTTTTTTTCTGTTTATTCAACGTTTGCAAAATTATGTTGATGCACAAATATCCTACCTCTTTCTAAACCTAGCCAGTTATTTATTACTTTATTTTGTTTTTTCCCATCACTCGGTCGGTCACAATTCTGACATATTCATTGTTTGGTATAATCAACAGGCAATGGACAAACATTAATATTTTATTTAAATTAAACAATATTTTGCAACTTTATCTAACGTTGTGTCCAGCAGTTGTGAACTGTACCAGAAACAAAGTCAGGGACAAAGGCTTTTCGTTATTTTTGTTTCGTTTTCACTTATTGTTTATATTTGTGTCCGTATGTGACTCTGTCTTTCCACCAAGAAATCTGCTGCAAAAAAAGTTATCAGTTGCCTTTCTTTGTTGCAGTTCGTCTTCTTATATATATGCAAGTCACTGAAACGTCCATAAGTAAACACACAAGCACACAAGTACAGACACACACACACACACACAAACACATACACAAACACCACACACACACACACACACACACACACACACACACACACACACACACACGCACACACACACACACACACACACACACACACACACACACACACACACACACACACACACACACACACACACACACACACACAATTAACCTCCAAGCTGACTGCGAATGGTCCAACTCCCCTAGCACGATAAAGAATAGGCACTCAAGTACTCAATAAGGAATAGCAATTGGTAATCTATAGAACAAGACGAGTAAGTTACTATAAGCCTAGGTGGTAGGACAGCATAAACGGCAACATTGCAAGTAGGTGCAGGTCAAGTCCCAGGAGGGTGGGGGTCAGGTCACAAGAGGTTGTGGTCAGGCAAGGAACCACTGACACTCCACATAACACTCCAATGCACAATTCCACCTACTTTTCAGACACTTAATAAACCCACACATAATTCCACATATAACTAAACACACACACACACACTGCAAACACACACACACACACACACACACACACACACACACACACACACACACACACACACACACACACACACACACCTGATCCTCATCAAATCGGATGAGGATCAAGCAGGACTACAAAGAGACCTGGACAGGCTACAAGCCTGGTCCAGCAACTGGCTCCTTGAGTTTAACCTCCAAATGCAAAGTCATGAAGACTGGGGAAGGGCAAAGAAGACCACAGACAGAATATAGTTTAGATGGCCAAAGACTGCAAACCTCACACAAGGAAAAAGATCTGGGGGTGAGTATAACACGAGCATATCTCCTGAGGCGCATATCAATCAGATAACTGCTGCAGCATACTGGCGCCTGGCAAACCTACGGATAGCGTTCCAATACCTCAGTAAGGATTCGTTCAAGTCTCTGTATACAATTTACGTCAGGCCTATACTGGAGTATGCAGCACCAGTTTGGAATCCACACCTAGTCAAGCACGTCAAGAAATTAGAGAAAGTGCAAAGGTTTGCAACAAGACTAGTCCCAGAGCTACGGGGATTGTCCTACGAAGAAAGGTTGAGGGAAATCGGCCTGACGACACTGGAGGACAGGAGGGTTAGGGGAGACATGATAACGACATATAAAACACTGCGCGGAATAGACAAGGTGTACAAAGACGGGATGTTCCAGAGAAGGGACACAGACACAAGAGGTCACAATTGGAAGTTGAAGACTCAGATGAAATCAAAGGGATTGTTAGGAAGTATTTCTTCAGTCATAGAGTAGTGAGGCCGTAGAATAGCCTAGAAAGTGACGTAGTGGAGGCGGGAACCATACATAGTTTTAAGGCGAGGTATGATAAAGCTCATGGGGCAGGGAGAGAGAGGACCTAGTAGCCATCAGAGAAGAGGTGGGGCCAGGAGCTATGACTCGACCCCTGCAACCACAAATAGGTGAGTACAAATAGGTGAGTACACACACACACACACACACACACACACACACACACACACACCCACACCCACCCACCCACCACCCCACCCACCCATCCATCCCACATATACAGACTCAGACACACACACTCTCCCCCTACCCACCAACCTCTCACTCCTTCCCCTGATTCCCCCCTCTTTCAGTCACCCTCCTCCTCCCCACCTCTCCCTCCTTCCCCTTCTCCCTCTCCCATTCACCCCCTTGCTTCTCCCTCCTTCTCACCCCATATCCCCCCCCTAAATCCCCCTCCCCACCCCTCTCTCCCATATAGCCACCTGTCCACAGTCTTCCTCTACCTTCCTCCCCACACTCTGACAAACACACTACTAACCTAACACACAGAATTACCTAAGTTTTCCATTCTGAGGCAATCAAAATAAAAAAAATGGGTTGCCAGAGAGCAGGAAGGAAAACCAAGGGGCAGGAGGATGAATCTGCAAAGGAAGATTGGGCAGCAGAGCTCACAAGAAGGGAACATGAATGGGAAAAGAAACTAGAAGAACTTAGCATGAGAATGGAAGAGACGATAGATATGGAAAGCAGGAAGTGGGAGATGCAAGTCATAGCAGCAGAGGCTAGGATACAGACATTAGAAGAGGAACTGAAAAATCTGAAACAGCCTAAAGAACTAAAGAACATTTTGGGAATGACATCAGAGACTGCTACCTCAGTCACAAATAAGGGGACTGAAGGGAAAGAAGGATCAAAACTGCATGTAGAAGCTCTATCAGAGAGGACTGTAGTAAATGAAAGAGCTAAGCTATGTGTGGAGGCCCTAACAGCCCACAGCAGAGCCCAGGGAAAGCCGAGAAGGGAAAATGACAGGCCACAGAGCCCAAGTACAATGGATAGTGAAACTGAAGAAAGGAAAGCTGCAATGCAGGAAATTAAATTAAATGAGTGGATACACAAGGATATGCAGTGGGAGAATGAAAGGGAGAGGTCAGTCTTTGTGTATGGGCTCCAGGAAGTTGAAGGGGAAACATATGAAGCAAGAAAACAAGGGAAAAAAAGCAATTGAAAGCATCATAAAAGCAACAGGAGAAGATGACATGACCCAGCTGGAAAATTTTCAGAGAATAGGGGGGTTTGCAAGAAGAAGAACCCTGCCAATGAAAGTGACTTTCAAGGCAGAATCGACTTGGAGCAG